GTATGGGTGCGACACTGAGGGTTGCGATCCGTTGCCGGACACGAAAAAAGACAAAAAAAGGGGGGAAAATAATTAGAAATTTCAAAACATTTTTTTCAAATTATTGGCAAATTCATAAATTAGATTCTTATTTATAATTCTGTTATGAAAGATAATCATGAATTTAAGGGTGATTGTTTCAGGTGAAAGTATTGACCAAGGATTTCTAAATTTACGATTTTTAAATTTATATATTCTTTTATTATAAGGCAATAATGATGAAAACTTTAATTTGTTCAAAGTAACACATACTTAAGGCTACTCCAAAAGATAAACTTATTAGAAGTTCATTTTATTTTGGGTAAACTTATTAAGTATTCATACAGCTTTTCTTTATTTCCTAACCGAATTAAATAACTATATCATGGGGAAAAATTTAGTTGCATATAATGGAGCATCACTTATTGTGTGCTTCCCCCCCAAAAAAAACATTCCTACCTCTTTAAGAAATTTCAGTTGATTGACAGTGTTTTTTCTAACCTTCAGATTGTCAAACAGTTTTTTAAAATTGCTTTTATTTGTTAAAAAGTTGAATCATAGTGTATACCTTTTAAAAGGCAGCATACATGTATATATATGCTTTGTGCATATATTTATCTTAACTATAAATATATTCAAGGTTTTAGGGTTATTTCTTTAGAATACTTTTCAGAACTAGAATTTTTATGACAAAGCCTGTAAATATTTTTTAAGTTATCAAAATTGAAATCATTTGTTTTTCAACGCACACACCAAATCATAGGCTGGATGATCCTCTTCAGGATTGTTCTAAAAGTTCAACAGTTATTTACTATGAATAAAGTTTTGTTCATTTACTTTGAATATTTAAATAAGTAAACTTTTTGAATGGCCTCTGTAATTTTAGTATGCTAGAAGCTAAGATGTGACCTTAACTAAAGATATTACTGTCTTTTTATTTAATGTTAGTAGCTAAAATTTTAAGCCAGTTAGTGTGTGTATTTAGATAGCTCAGATATTGGAGCTAGGAGTTGATGAAACACAGTTTCAGATCCTTTCTATGTGAACTATATTTTATATGTTTTTGCTATATTACCCAGTCATGGAGTGTATATCACTAATATACGTGATTCTTTTCTAAATGTGCATCAACAAAAAACAGTGAATCAACATAAATCCATTGCCATAACTTAAGGCTTGCTTTTTTCCCCCTTTCCCCTTCCCCAAAGGCATGTGTTCACATAAGAAAAATAAAACATTCACCCTTGTATTTCTCTATAACAATAATCACTATAGAGCAGAATTATGAAAAAGTGGTGTCTCTACTGGAGAAAATTCAAGGTATCTGAAGAAAAGAGTTAGCAGGCTAAAAAGACTGCTATTCTTACAACCCCCTGCTTGCAAGGTTGGCCTTTGGCTGCTGTCTGACAACTTGGATTTGGGGAGAGTTCCTACTGTTCCGTAATCAATAAAGGTTGTTTACTATGCCTAAACGGTGCAAACGGTGTGGCTTATGCTGCACATGTGCTTTCTTTCCTTCTGGGTGTTTGGAATTCTGGTGTGTGTTAGACAGAGGGTGCGTACATGACTAGTTCATAATAAAAACCTTGGACATTGAGTCTCTAATGGGCTTCTCTGAGCAGATGCATTGCATTCATTACCTGGGGGAAGAGTGTACACTCTGTTACTCTTCATGACAGGGAGAGAGCATAGGAATCCTACACGTGAATTCCTCTGAACTCCACTTGTGTCTTTTTCCCTTGAGAT